TGATGCGATTCTTTTGTTGACGTGGGGGGATGCTTGAAAACTTTTGACTGCTGCAGACTGCTATATTGGTCTGCTAATACAGGACAAGTAAAGGCCCAGTGCACTACTTTTTTTAGACTCATATTTTTTTATTTTCAGGGAGTGCTGCAGCACCCTCAGCACCCCTACTTCCCGTGGTTATGCATACAGGCTATGCGTTGATATACAGTGAGTGAGTAGCAATGTTTTCTGATTATGAGCAGGAGACAGTAGTGGTGCGTGGGTAAAATCACTGGGGAAGCCAAGTGACAAGTGTATGTGTGCACATTTGTGCAAGTAGAAAAACATGTTGACTCACCCTACTTGTAGAGAAACACCAATGCCATCCTCTCTTTCATGGTGACGAAACAGTCTATCACTCTGTCATACAGTACACCCTTTTATTTTTTGTTGACCTAGGCTCCCTGGCCAAAATGCTTGCTCGCTAGCCTAACTTCCATTCATGGGCAACGTTAGATAGTTAACATTCGCTTTCTACATCTCAGGCCAGGGGAACAACAATGAATTAATTAATTGTTGGATCAGAATCGGCGTTATAATCATTGGCCAGTACGGAGAATTAAGTAAAACCACAAGTCCAAATCCCTATCTCCATCCATGGCTAATTTAGGAAAGGGCCAATTTTAGCTAGCTGGCTAGCTAGCCACCGGAGGACAACAACACAACGAGATGCAACAATTCAAGTTTTCCTGTCAATGACGTATGCTCTCAATGGGATTTGATAGGAGTGAAGCCAAATCCAAGCTGGCTTCCCTTGACACTTTTTTCTGATGTGTCAGGACCATTCACAGTTGAGCTCGCTAAGTTTAGCTCAACGCTGATTGGCAAAACATTTAATACTTTATTTTTGTCAAGGGAGGCCAGATTCTTGCTGGCTTCCCATGCCTTCAATGCTACTGGCAGGAAAAATTTCATACTCGTTTGGCCCAGACAGCATCAGATAGATGGCCTACATGTAGAGAGACAGAGGGGCGCTGTTCCGCTCGCTCTGATGCTTTCTCCTGTGAGATACATTCAGCCTCTTGCGAACTGAAGGAAAATGATGAAATACAGAGACAAAAGAGACATTATTTTATGTTTTTTTATTTTGGTCTTTTTTTGCGGGAAGCCTGGCTTCCCTTGGCATCCATGAATACATGCCACTGGCAGGAGATGGTGCTTATCACGGTGATTTAATAGTATTGAAGTCTCTGCGGACGTTAATTTGTTTAGTGCAGCATCAATATGGATAGTAACTATCACTGCGTGTTGCGCAACTCATGAGACCGCTGCAATCAATGCATACATCAGAGATGGCCTACATTTTATGAGTCATCACAGTTTCATTAGTTAATGTGACTTGCGCGAGAGCAGTCACACTTCAAATGTTTCACAAATTATCTGGGTATGGTTTGTATCTTTGGAACCCTATTCCCTTACACAGTTTAAGCTAGAACATATTCAATTTAACTTGCAGACTGGTCTGGATAGTGCGCTTCTCGTATAGCTACACTTTTGCTGCTCTTCTGCTCAGAGAAATCATAAATCTGCTAGCTTATTAGTGTATAGCCTACTGTTGCACTATTAGCATACATTTTATGGTATAATTTCAGTCAACGCAGTTATACATAATTCTTCTTGCAGCAGTAGGTTTAGGCACTGATTTATTAGCCATGTTCTAATCATGTCATGCATTTTACCTAGGTGGTCCTCCCTGTCAGTTAATCTTGCGTTCTAGTAGTATTATTCTAGTGACTGTTCTTATTCTATCATACGCTATTGTATTGTGCGCTATTGTAGCGATCACTTCATTCTAGTCATGTATTAGTGCTGTTATTAATTAATATTCTGCTTGCAGACTCATTTTAAATTGATACTACTGCCTAACCATAACTTGAAATCTGAGGATGAAGGGTTATCACCTTGGACCTTAGTGGGGAATCTGACACTGTGCGATGACTAATCAAGGCTTGCTATAGTTTCAGCTGTGTTGGATGGGTGTTGATACTAGCATTACCTAGCATGCGGCGGGCTTGCTTAACACACACCTGGCGATCAGTGTTGGTGATCAAGCCTTCATTGCCTCTCAGTGGAACGTCTGTTAGATCTTATTTCAGACACTCTTATATGCAGGCTTATTCTAGTAATCTATGGGGTCTATTCTCTCTTCATTAGGTCATTCATTCTTCTCTCATGGCTCACCGTCATACACTGTTAGACATTAGCCTTCAGCTCAGGTAGGCTATAGGTCTAGGTTGATTATCAGATCACTCTCACTGTGCATGCTGCAGATACATCAGCTACAGCTGAGCAATTTCAGTAGCACATTAGGCTATTTAGGTAGCTACGAAACCACCTGTACTAACGTTTAGTTGCGGTTTTGGGAGTTTTTTAGTAATGCGTATGTTTTATGCTATGTGATGGTATGTCATGGCTGAGCTGTGCGCTCTGCAGCAGTCTACTTTATGCTCTTCTCTCTGTACAATGTCTTCTGTTATATAATGTATGCCTTTTCTATTCCAAATTCAGTCAGGCAAATGCAGCCTTATCATGCTCTGATAGCAGGGATTCAGTTCATATTGGGCGCCAGGACCCTTCAGCGTACAGTCTGCTCAGGGATCCATGTCTACCTACTCTTCATGGCTTATGGAGAAGGAATGAACATGCATATCTAAGAGTATCTCTACTCTGTCAGTAGCACATCACGGTTCCATCTCCTCTGCCAACGTTGTGGGATATCTATCTCCTGAGCTGTGCGCAGCTCTATCATTTCGCATTGGTGCTGCTTAAACGGCTTCTCTATCTGTCCCTGCATCCACACTGAAGATCACGGGGGAAATTCTTATTTACAATGACGGCCTACATCGGCCAAACCCGGACAACGCTGGGCCAATTGTGCGCCGCCCTATGGGACTCCCAATCACGACCGGTTGTGATACAGCCTGGAATCGAACCAGGGGGTCTGTAGTGACGCCTCAAGAACTGAGATGCAGTGCCTTAGACCACTGCACAACTCGGGAGCATTGCTTTGGCACGTATCATGATAAAGTTCGGTGTATATTAGCTACAGGTGGTTGGCTGGGTGCATATTGCTTAGGTTGCTTGTTAGATGGTAGATATTTAATGTAGGCCCACAGATGATCAAGCTACTTGTATAGTTCAGTGAGAGCACCTGGCGGTGCGTCTCTAGGGCGGCTGGGTTCACACTGTAATGTTGTCAAGATAGGCAGATGAAGCTCATCTTGCCTCAAGCGAGGGTACCCGGCAGTATGTCATGAGGGATAGAAGTCATAAGTCGCTCAGTTTATGCCACACATGGTTAACATTCTCACATGATATTCATCTTTAAGCTGGTAGGTTTACTTTAGCTGGTCTATTTGATCATATCTAAACGGCACTCTGCCGTAGCTACACATAGTCGGCTGGTGTAAGGTCCTGCTGTTTTGGGGGATTGGTATAGTTTACCGTGCTCACTGCCTGTAGGCTATTTAATATTGACTCTTTGCTACCCTGAAGGAGCAGAGCCAATCTCGGCAAGACTTGCATTTTTCATTGCTTAATAAATGGTTAAACATATTTCTACATGGTGTTTTCTTTCTGAAATGAACTATTTGAGCATTGTTTTATCAAAGGTCATTCTATGTTTACAATGAAGGTTTACATTGGTATGCCCCACTTAAGCTGTTGTTGGACATCCAAACACATCACTGAATAATGTAAACACTACATTTACGATTATCTGAGGCTGATTTCATCTGAAAATACCAATTGATTACAATGACCAATAGAAGCTTAAAAAAAAGAAACACTACAATTCACATCAAATGAAGAAATAGGTCTGGCTATATCATTAGAATAACAATTATGGATTTAACAATGTCAAAGATAATTTATGCTAATTCATGTGACCCTATTGAGACTTTCAAATAGACAAACTATAGATAACAAAGCTCTGCATAGCAACTGAAAGGAAAAATACACCGCTGAGACATTTTGTTGTTGATGTTCACATGCTTATCAGTACAGACCAAAGTGTACATTCTGACCAAGAGCAAGAGTGTGGACCCATCACAGTGGAAGGATATTGCAGGCAAACAGGCCTCCAAGCTCCATAGAATAGAATCAAAGATTTGTATATCCTTTTAAACAGGATTTCTTACTGCACTATCCAATAACACAGCATATAGGCATTGGTATGATGTTGAGAGACTGAGTTGTTAGGATAAGACTAATGATGATCAAATTCCAACAAATACCAACTCACATTTCTTAGCTGAACTTGTATGTCTCTACACACAATCCATATTTTACCACTAGATGGCGACATCAACCAGCAACAGCTGTAGATAGGGCCTATGCATCCCTCATGTGAAAAAACATGCACCGGACTGTGCACTGCTCTTTTATTGAAGCCCCCAAAAAACACTCACAAAAAAACATCTGCCATCACACCTAAACTGAGATCTGACAAAGAATTAAATCTGACAGCTAATGAGCCAATTACAGTAGGATCAGAATGAGCAGCAGGAGGATGTGGTTGTCATGCGGAGAGAGCATACATACCTCCACACAATGAGAAACATTCTATAATTGGCTTTATCAGTGGTCCTGACTGCATGCTCCTGTATATAGATACAGACTGAGGAGCCACTGCCAGATCACTGGACTCATCCTCTGCAGAGGGCTCCAGCCTCCAGTCAAAATAACACAGGAGGGATTTGGAATGAGGAGAGTTCACTAGCAGCAAAATATATTGGAGATACTGCCTAACCTCTAACCAAAGGTCAGGTAAATGTCTTTACCATTTCCATAGTATATGAATTTCCACACAGAGATGCAGTATTATATGCATACAGAATTGAGAATTGTCTGTGATTATATGAAACGTATTCTCAATTGAACATAGAAAAGGGCAATTCTACACTACAGTTCTGAAGAATTATCAACAGCAGCTTGCAGTAAACACAGTAAAGCTATCCCACCTTTACAGGGAAGTAGTCCCTCATGTAGTCCCAGACACGTAGGTTGGACAGGAAGTGAACCCTGTTGCCTCCCTTAGACGGTGTTTCCCAGTCGACGAACCACCAGCAGGCGTACAGCACGCTGATCAGCCAGAACCGAGTGAACATCAACACAAAGAACAGCATGATGCAGCTTGGAGCTGGAGGAAGACAACCAATACATTTACATTTTAGTCATTTAGCAGACGCTCTTATCCAGAGCGACTTACAGTTAGTGAGTGCATACATTATAATTTTTTCATACTGGCCCCCCGTGGGAATCGAACCCACAACCCTGCCGTTGCAAACGCCATGCTCTACCAACTGAACTACATCCCTGCCGGCCATTCCCTCCCTACCCTGGACGACGCTTGGCCAATTGTGCGCCGCCCCATAGGTCTCCGGTCGCGGCCGGCTATGACAGAGCCTGGATTCGAACCAGGATCTCTAGTGGCACAGCTAGCACAACCTTAGACCACTGCGCCACTCGGGAGATGGCACACTGGCACACTGGCACACACACACACACACACACACACACACACACACACACACACACACACACACACACACACACACACACACACACACACACACACACACACACACACACACACACACACACACACACACACACACACACACACACACACACACACACACACACACACACACACACACACACACACACACACACACACACACACACACACACACACACACACACAGCACTATTAGGTTGCATCTCTTAACCTGCTGACATACTGAGCAGCAGTGAGCAGGAGAGGGACAGGGATAGAGAGAGAGAGAAAGAGGTAGAGAAAGAGACCTAAGCAAACTGAGAAGTGTACTACAACTCAAGCCATTAGTTTTTCCTGACCACGTGACCTGAACAGATTGACCAATAACTAGGACCCAGAGTTTTTCCTTGTCAGGTCATGTGGTCATAAAAAGCTAACACCAGGAAGTGTGTTTCCTCTTGTCCTCTAGGTACCACTGATGCACAGTATCCAATCCATCTCTGGGAGAATAAAAAGTGTGGAAGGCCTAATGGACAAATCTATTGCGACACACTTGGAGTCTCTCCACTGTCCAACACATGTTATGTAAGAGTTACTTAAGAGTTAGATACGTGAGTTTCTTCTGTATGCATGTATTACTGTATGCATGTTCCTTTCTCTGTTTCAGGCACAACTCCATTGGCACATGGAAGTCAGCCAGCAGTGAGCCTGCCTCGCAAGTGGAAACTCTCATAGAATTCCATTTAAACTTCTCCACACCGAGCAACCCGTTAAGCAAACAGAACGGGACACAAATCTCCCCACTTGTTAAGTAAGGAGGAAGAAAGGCTAGCTAACACGGCTGCACAGCACACACAGACACACATAGACAGCACAGAACAGTGGCAGACAGACACTCACCTAGGCCCAGAAAGGAGAAGACCCACTGTAGAACGGAGGCTGTCTGCAGTCTTCTGCTTAAGGGCAGGTTGGTAGGGGCAAACTGGATCTTCATGGTGGGGACTGGAGAGCCAGGCAGTGCAGGCAGACGGGAGGCTTATGACTGGGACACCCAGGAGAGTGAGTGAGTGAAGTGGGTCCAAAGTCTGCCTCTCTCCCTCTCTATCCACGGTCAACCGACATTTGACCGTCTTATCTCTGCAATCCTTTAATGCATGAATTAATTACTCAGACCTTTGACCTTGCTGGTACTGGCCCAGCTAACAGTTGTAGTTGCAAGAACATTTATGTGTCAACAAATTTTTTCATTAAACATCACGTCTTGTTACTGTTGTTGAGCCAATCAAGGTCCTGATTGGTAAATCACTGATACATTCATAGCGCTTCGTCTGTTGGCAAGGTTAGGGATACTCACACACAGTACTTCTAGCATACAGTGTTCAACTTACACATTTGACACATTTTGACATGCATGATTATATTGTGCATGTATACAGAAATTATTATTCAACATTTCCTCACATAGGATTTGAACTCACAACCTCCTGATTTACAGTACTCCTATCTTCCTGCTAAACCAACATGTCCGTGTCAGGTACCAGTTAATCTGATTATTCTCTCGTCATTGATTTTATTAATCATATTTCAGAAATGTAAGGGCTTTCAGTATAGTTGTCTAATGTTGGTGGGGAATGTTAACCAGTTTTAATGATACTCCTGAATCAATATGATCAATAAAATATTTTCTTAAGTGTACTTTGAACAGAGCTGACATTTACTTTGAAGTGCATTCGCCCTATTGCTTACACCTATCAATGTTTCAGATCTACTCAAGTGCCTAGGGAAGAGGGGTTAGGGTTTTTTCTGGACAGGGCCTAACTTTACTGGCCCAATGAGCACATTCCCTTGAGAGATCCCTTATCGGGACAGTGGTTATGGAGTTTGTTATTGGTGCTGGTGGCCTGGGTTTGAGAGCCACTAAGTACAGTACAGTAAAGTAGGGTACAATACAGTATACTTTACTGTGCTCTACTTTATTGTACTCTACTGTACTGTATTGTAATGCACTATATTCTACTTTACTGTACTGTAATGTACTGTACTCTGCTGTGCTCTACTGTACTGTACTGTGCTGTCCAAACTTGTGAAGCATAGATGTTTATGATTGGTTCAGATTTAGTCCGGTCCAGATCGGACCAAGAATCAACGTCCTTGGACCAAGAAAAGACGTCTGGTCAGGACAGGACAAAAAAAGACGTTGCCGTCGGTAAATGCTTAGTAGGCTTATACTCATTCACTAAAGTACTTCCCACAAATCTAAACGCAGGATGGAATTCTGGCTACTAGAAGGAGATTGCACTATAATGCTTTGGCTACCAGTCATGATGTTTCACGGTCATGGCTGCCATCCCATTTCTGACACCCATGTAGCAAACAATAAACCCGGGTCGTGGCGTTAAAGGCAAACACCCTACTGGACCAATTATAGACGTCTATATTTGGGCTAAATCAAGGCCAGTCCGGACCAGACCAAATCTGAACCAATCATAGATGTATTTTTTGGGGTCAAATCAAGGCCTAGTGGGTTGAGTGTACATACAACAACAAAAAATTGATGGATGTGTTTGTGTTACAAAGACAAAACATTTTCTGCTGTAAATATCATATTGATGTGCTTATAAAGATAGTATGCCTACACTTTACCTAACAAATCAGAATCAGTTGTGTGTAGAGTACAACTTCAGCTGTCCAACAGAACTAGCATGGCATTTCTATTTCTAAGGTCTATTTGCCCAAATCTAAGGATTTGGCTGTCTATCACACTAACATGCACTGCTCTCTGGGCGAGGTTCTGTCTTCAAGTCTCCAGTGGGTGATGAAGTCCCTTCCATCTATGTAATGTATTACAGGTTATGGACAGGTGCAGTCAGGTGGCAGGAGGGGTGGAATGCCTGACACTCCATCCTGGATATGACAGAGTTTGCTTCATGGGTCCAGCAGGCAGAGATCAATAACTACAGGCAGGTGTGAGCTGCAGGAGGATGGCACTCTTCTCATACTGAGTAGCCTACAGAGTAATATGAGAAGAATGTATTGCAGAACTTATGTAGATATTCTCCCAAACAAAGTGTTGATAACTTTCAAGCGTAACAGTTAGAATAAACCATCCTTCACATAATATTGTAGAAGCAGTGTTCTGCTAATATAACAATGTGCAAATACCATATTACACTTGTATTTCATCTTTTATTTTCGTTCACAGCCGATACAGATACTGTACCTATCAACATTTTGTGTAGTGGTGCTGGGGCTACTTTGCCAAACATGTCTGTCATCATACCTTCCTGTATGGTGTCCCATATGAAATACACAAACACACATATGTACAGGCATTCATCCAATGGCATTGAGGAGTATACCACCTCAGTCACCGGCTTCATCAATAACTGCATCGACGACGTCGACCCCACAGTGACCATACGTACATATCCCAACCAGAAGTCATGGATTACAGGCAACATCCGCACCGAGCTAAAGGCTAGAGCTGCCGCTTTCAAGGAGCGGGACACTAATCCGGACGCTTATAAGAAATCCCGCTGTGCCCTAAGACGAACCATCAAACAGGAAAAGCGTCAATACAGGAATAAGATTTAATCCTACTACACCAGCTCTGTCGCTCGTCGGATGTGGCAGGGCTTGCAAACTATTAAGGACTACAAAGGGAAACCCAGCCACGAGCTGCCCAGTGACATGAGCCTACCAGACAGGCTAAATGCCACCCCCCCTTTTCTCCCCAATTTCAATCTAGTCACATCACTGCAACTCCCCAACGGGCTCGGGAGACGAAGGTCGAGTCATGCGTCCTCCAAAACATGACCCGCCAAGCCACGCTCCTTAACACCTGCCTGCTTAACCCAGAAGCCAGACGCACCAATGTGTCAGAGGAAACACTGTTCACCGAGGTCAGCCTGCAGGTGCCCTGCCCACCACAAGAAGTCGCTAGCTAACCTGGACGACGCTGGGACAATTGTGTGCCGCCCTATGGGACTCCCGATCACGGCCGGTTGTGATACAGCCCGGGATCGAACCCGGGTCTGTAGTGACGCCTCTAGCACTGCGATGCAGTGCCTTAGACCGCTGCACCACTCGGGAGGTCCTGGGCTAAATGCCTTTTATGATCGCTTTGAGGCTGGCAACACTGAAGCATGCATGAGAGCACCAGTTGTTCCGGACGACTGTGTGGTTACGCTCTCCGTAGCCGATGTGAGCAAGACCTTTAAACAAGTCAACATTCACAAGGTCATTCAGAGCATGCGTGGACCAACTAGCAGTGTGATTCACAGCAGCAGGACTCACCGTCCATGGAGAAGGGGCCCCTCAGGGGTACATGCTTAGTCCCCTCCTGTACTCCCTGTTCACCCACAACTGCGTGGCTAAGCACGACTCCAACATCATCATTACATTTGGTGGTAGGCCTGATCACCGACAACGATGAGACAGCCTATAGGGAGGAGGTCAGGGACCTGGCAGTGTGATGCCAGGACAACAATCTCTCCCTCAACGTGAGCAAGACAAAGGAGATGATCATGGATTACAGGAAAAGGAGGGCCAAACACGCCCCCATTCACATCGACAGGGCTGTAGTGGAGCGGGTTGAGAGTTTCAAGTTCCTTGGTGTCCACATCACCAACAAACTATCATGGTCCAAACATACCAAGAAAGTAATGAAGAGGGCACGACTATGCCTTTTCCCCCTCAGGAGACTGAAAAGATTTGGCATGGGTCCCCAGATCCTCAAAAGGTTATACTGCTGCACCATCGAGAGCATCCTGACCGGTTGCATCACCACCTGGTATGGCAACTGCTCGCCATCTGACCGTAAGGCACTACAGAAGGTAGTGTGTACGGCCCAGTACATCACTGGGGCCAAGCTTCCTGCCATCCAAGACCTACTGTATATACTAGGCGGTGTCAGAGGAAGGCCTAAAAAAAATTGTCAATGACTCCAGTCACCCAAGTCATAGACTGTTCTCTCTGCTACTGCACAGCAAGCGGTACCGGCGCGCCAAGTCTAGGTCCAAAAGGCTCCTTAACAGCTTCTACCCCCAAGCAATAAGACTGCTAAACAATTAGTCAAATGGCCACCCGGACTATTTGCATTGACACCCCCCATTTGATTTTACACTGCTGCTACTCGCTGTTTATTATCTATGCATAGTCACTTTACCCCTACCGACATGTACAAATTACCTCAACTACCTGTACCCCCGCACATTGACTCAGTACCGGTACCCCCTGTATATAGCCTCATTATTGTTATGTTATTGTGTTACATTTTCTTTTCTTTTTTTTTTACTTTAGTTTATTTAGTAAATATTTTCTTAACTCTATTTTCTTAAAGCTGAATTGTTGTTTAAGGGCTTGTAAGTAAGCATTTCACAGTTGTATTCGGCCATGTGACAAATACAATTTTATTTTATAGAATAGAATAGACAGCCAAGTCGTAAATTGCATTTTGTTCTAAAGAAAGTATAACGCTTTTTGCTAATGCACTTCACAACCAAAATTACTCTACTAGTTCTATCTGCTTGGCTGGGGAATTAGACTACTACTTTATCAAGCTGGGTATTTTTTTATACAACTTTTCACATTACACATAACACACGTTACCTGTTGTTGTTGATGGGGCAGTAACATTACCTGTTGTTGTCATTAGGACAGTAACTCGGGTCACTATCAGAGGCCTCATGATGGCGTGTCCTTTTCATAGGAGTTGAGGGAGACAACATTTACATTTACATTTTAGTCATTTAGCAGACGCTCTTATCCAGAGCGACTTACAGGAGCAATTAGGGTTAAGTGCCTTGCTCAAGGGCACATTTACGTCATTTAGCAGACGCTCTTATCCAGAGCGACTACAAATTGGTGCATTCACCCTATAGCCAGTGGGATAACCACTTTACAATTATACTTTTTTTTTTTGGGGGGGGGGGGGGGGGTAGAAGGATTACTTTATCCTATCCCAGGTGTTCCTTAAAGAGGTGGGGTTTCAAA